AAGTTTTCTTTCTTCTCCTATTCTTCATCCAAATGGGCAGCCAAAAGACAGCAACCAAAACCGGCGCACGAATATGCGTGGTTAATGGTTGTTCAAACTGAAAACTGTAGCTCGTTGGGTCACAGAGGTGCACAAGCCATCACACCCCGTCAAGGTGTAGTCTCGTCGTGATGGGTCGACCTCCATAGACTATGGTGGTTAAGACATGTGTTACGCATGACAGCAAATAGGTTGCCACGGTGCGCGATGTTCGTCGAGGCAGGTGGTGGGCGGAAAAAAAGCCGAGGGTGGTCAAACTCCGACCTGGCATGAGGTTATGAAAACCCTGAACAGGACCTTGGATCACATAGGTCCCATTAGGGGCCCCGAGAGAGAGAGAGGGGACCGGTGGTTAGAGACACTGTGTGATATAGCTGGGTGTCGTAAACAGTGGCGCTCGTGCATCTACTCAATGATCTTGCAACTCTAGTCCACGGAAATTCTCCATCTTCATTTGACTCCTGTCATTCTGCGCTTTTATCCAAATAGGCAGCCAAACGACAGTAATCAAATGATTTTATAAACTGAACCAAATATCAGTCTATTCCTATTCATCATCTGTATTTCAAACCATGATTGTTAGAATACTCATATCCGCGAGCTTGTGTACTATTTTGTGAAACTCAAATCAGTCAGTCGATTTCTTTCTGGACAGCATTCTATCCAGATTGTCTTTGTTTGGATACAATTATTTCTCATGTTTTGTATATCATTTACAAACCTAAGGGCCCTCGTTTCCTTCTTTAATCGCTGGTTATTTCCTTATGTCGAACAAATAATAATACAATTTCAGTGAAATTTACCTGTGGATTTCCGATCCATCCTGAAAACATTACATCCTGTAACGTAATAAAATCAATTTAGTTATTCGACGTTTCGCTTTTCTGCTTGAGACTAATGGAAGATATAGTTTTAATACATTAAAGCTGAAAGCTGTGAAGTACCCATTAGGCTGCAAATCAATCAGTCTATCTGAGGGCCAAACGCATGTATACTACGCGTTTGAACACGGAGCAATTGAACAGACTGTTTCACTATCTACATAAAATGTAGCATTTAAACTCGCTTCTTTTATCACTAGACTCCACGGGTTGTAATTCGATTGGAGGTTGATTCCCACTGGTAATGAGACAGAACTGGTTCCAAACAGCAGTACAAATTGCTGTTGTTGTAATCACATCACTGCAACCTACAACTCCGAAGTCTGATTATAAGCAATGCAGATGTCACTCAATAAAAAACTTTCTAAAACCTCTGCCCATGGTATTTGCAATTTACTGATCTGTTCACTCCTAATACGGGAAGGTTGAGAATCCAATAATGGCTGTATAAGTTCGTATCATTTCTTTCTACTTGCACAATTGTAATGATTCACCTGGCGTGTGTGTTTACTGTTGACTGTAACTTAATACCAATTTAACGTCTGACTGGGTTTCCGTTTTTTGTTTAGGTGGGTGACCGTCAACAATCAGACAGATGAGATTCAATCTAACTGGCAAGCAAGCATTCACCAATAGATCTATGAGGCTCGTATAAGCTAGTTCTGTCTCGTCGCTTAGCTGCAGAGTACGAATCAATCCTAGTACATCAAGTTGATTGTTGCCGTCGCAATCGTATCAAATCGATCGAACTGAGGTGGAAATAACGGTCACTATTCTATCCATTCAAATCTGCTGGTTGATCTAGTTTGGATCTATACATCATAAGCAGCCAAAATCCATATACTATACACGGTTTCTGTCTGGTTTACATATTATGGTACACCCTATTTAATAGTCGATCGATCAGGACCGGCAACCTCTTTCCTTTTCACTATCTATTATACCTGATTAGAGATTGCATCCATTGCGTTCCATTGAAACCAATCTTAGCAGAGAAATGGAAAGAATGAAAATCGAAACTATAAAACGGCTCCAAAATACTAACTGATTTTTAAAAAATATCTTTTTTACTTCCGTTTTCTATTTATTGAATATACTAATGAACAGTCAACATTCAGGAAAGGGACTGCGGCCATACAAAGGCTGTCTGAGGAAAATACAGATATAGGGAAGACGGGCGGCGGTGAAACCGATTGAATCCGGGACACCCAGGCCACTAGTTGATGACCTAACCACTTGGCCACCACCGCATTGCATTGCCGGTTAATTCTTCTTATGTTGATATTAAAGGAAGCGATTTTAGAGATTAAACTGATTTTTGAAGGTATGCTTGTATTCGCCCAATCGATCTTTTTTGTAGGCCTCTGTATTTACCGTTTGTAGTGTCTTCAATAATGCTCCTGGTCTTTATCTGCAGGTTGGTTAGAACCATTGCTCGATCGTATTAAAAGCAGTCCTACAAACGTGGTCACCCCGGTGATTGAGATTATCAATACAGAGGACTTCACCATGGGAGTGACTCGATCAAAAGATGTCCAAGTGGGCGGCTTCAGTTGGGGTTTGACGTTCACATGGCACGTTGCACCTCCTCGTGAACGAAATCGTTCCGGTGCACCGTATTCTCCAATCAAGTAAGCGCCCCTACGTTTGCACATACATTTTTATCGTACGTATTTTGTCGATCTGTTCCAACCCGTACCCTAAATTGATATCACTGCCAACGCGTTTCTTTTGGGGTAATACGCGACCATCTTCTCTCTTTCAGTTGCAAACTGTCTCCCGAATGAACTCTTTTTGAAGAAAACGTCACCGGTTTTTGTTTATAAGATGATCAGTGATTTCCGCGGTAATTTTATTTGGCTGAATCATAAAGTGCACCTTGGCGATGTCTTTCTGTGGGCTACGAGCCAAATAGTGTATGATTCCAAGGTTATGAATGGAATCTGAAGAGTTTCACCACCATCAGCACCAGTCAACGATACAAAAGGGAGCACTAGATTCTAGTTTTGCTTTGATCAGATCTCATCGATAGTGCGCATCCACTGTCCTCTCCTGGCTTTGAACTCCGAACTCGTTGCATGGAATGTGTGTGTTGCTACTCTGCCAACTAGCTCATACCAAGGCTGAACCGTATTGCCAATTCAAGTGTCGTCTTCAGTGACAATGAATTATGTCTTGTTTATTGTGCCGTTTTAAAAAGATCCATCAATGTTTACCTCTAAAACTCAAGTATCCTAATAAAAAACTGGGTCTTCCGAATGTGACGCAGAAGATAATTCGTGATGACCGGTACTCTGCATGTGAGGCTCAAATGGCAACAGGTGAATAACTGACACGAATGCTTCAGTCGAAGGTGATTTGGTGATAGTTAAAGGGCTGGGCAAAAGGGTTCCGGATATGTAGTACACGTACGAGGTGCGGATAACCGGGCATGGAAAACGTGAACTGCAATCTACTGTGGATATATTTCAGTGATTGCAACCCATAGAACGAAATATCAACAGTCGAGTATAGCTCACAAATCATAAGGGTCGCCATGCTTGGACTGCAAGGATGAAACTCAGTCGATTTCACTACAGATGTCGTTTCAAGCAGCAGCATAGAGTTGATCGTTCGCGCGCTACCTTTGAGAAGCACTGTGTTCGAGTGGTTTGTAGAATCCAAGCGTGGCAGAAGTCCCCGGGTGATGAGACAGGATGTGGTTGATCTTTGGAGGTCACCACAGCGGACAACGTTGCTGCTGTGCAAGGGATGTTGGAGAAGTATGAGTGAGTGACAATAGCACAGTTAGTGAAAGCCATCGGAATCGCATCATGATCAATTAGCACCATCCTACATGAGAAGTTCGGCCTCAGAAAGGTTTGCGCACGCTGGGCACCCCATCAGCTCAGCGAGGAACAGAAAGTAGTTCGAGTGAATTGTTGCGGCACCGTGCTTGCCAAGTTTGATGATGGACGTTCCAATGCAGCTTGGGAGGTCATCATTAGTGATAAGACTTAGGTGTACAGTTTCAACTCAGAGACCAAGTAACAATCGGCTCAATGGACACCGTTTGGTAGGGTGCCGCCTCAGAAATTCCGACGCGAGCGCATTGTGGCAAAGAAGATTGTGACTGTGTTCATTGTCAAAACCGGTCATTTGGCTACTGTACCGCTCGTACAACGAAGCACAATAACCGGAGACTGGTAGGCCACCCACTGTCTTCCGAAAGTGCAGGAAGCTGCTGTCAATCGTTGTCCAAGGACTCTAGCACGAGAGACATTGCTGCACTATGACAACGAGCCAACAAATAGGTCCCTATCGTCGGCGATTTTCTGGATAGAGACCGCAGCCGGGAGGTTGGCCAACCACCCTACAGTTCAGACCTGGCTCCATGTGACATTTTTGTATACTCGAATGTTAAGAGCATGGATCCAACACGAGTCACTCATCATAACGAGATGCATCTTGAAATGGTATGATGGCTTGTGTGCCTCCATGACCGTGCGAATGATAGGATGGTTTTTCACAGCCACAGACCGAATCATGCCTGAAAGGTCAATGGGGGGTAGACCAGGCTAACCTAAGTCTGGCAAGGCCATCTGCTTGGCCATCTGGCTTCTTTTGACTATCCACACCCGCCCCGGGAGAGGTCACTCCAATAAATAAACACATGGGGGGGGGGTAGTTTATCGTTCAAAATACCCCGCTAGATGGACGGAAGAGCGAGGGCTTCCTCTCGACGCTGGAAGGTCTTCGCACTTCATTTGACAGCTCCCGCATGCCCAAGCTGGGCAACCCGCAACAAATAAGGTGCAGTCCCATCCACGCTCTACTTTTCTCTTTGGGTGCATGAGACTAATGGCCAATCCCGAAAAGCGAACCGACAATCAGCGCACCAGCGAGCAACACACTGAACCGAAACACAAAGACTTTGCGTGACTGGTTTCTAGAAACTCCCACACGAGTGTTTCGGTCACGCTCCGGCCTTGAATCTACGCCTCACTACCTTGTGGGTCAGACTTTTAAACCAAAGGCTCTGATCATAATTACGAAAGAAAAACCAGTTTCGGTGTGAGCTACTGCGAAGTATGACGTGTCTTAGGCACCCGTTCGGAGAATCCTCTTTTCTCTTTAGTTTTTCCCCTGAATCCCGAATGATCTCAGATGCCTTCGGTTTATGCCACCCATGGGATATCACATAGCGTTTTACCAGTAAGATCAACCAATGTTTGGAACCAAAACTTGGGTTCATGGTCCGTACACTACCAAATGAGCCAAAAAATGCATACAAGACCCTACCTGAATCATCTATCTGCGTTCTCCTGGTCCAACCTCATCATCACGCTTCACTCTTCGTGTGTCAGGTGATTTGGCATCCGTAACTCGCGGTGTTGTTGCTGTCGGGATTGCACCAAGTGTCAAGACGAAGCGCCTACATGTTGGCAGGACCTCGGTTAGTAGCCGACCGCGCTCTGTACACCTCAGCGGTTCAGTACGAGTAAACAGCTGCAGAACGAAACGTCAATGCCTATTCGTCGTATCCGTCTATGCACCGACCGATTGCAATACACCTGAAATCAAAGATGAATTCTACGAGGATCTTTCTCAATTACTCCAAAGTGTTCAATCAACGGACGTCGTTGTAATAGCCGGAGACTTCAATGCTCAAGTGGTATCCCAAGATGAATCCCAAAGGTTTCTTGGCGGTCCACATGCAATTCCAGCTAACCGGATGGGAAACGGAAATCGTGTACTTCACTTTCGCGCGGACCACGGATTGTTACTATCCAGCCCCGACTTCTACCACACGAAACAATACCGCCTTAAATGAAATCCGCCAACCTCTTCACAGCGACAGACCCAAATCGACCACATCGTAATCGGTTATCGCTGGAGAGGGTCAATTCAAGACGGCTACTCTCACTGGTCAACACCCCTGGATACGGCCCACGCTTTGTTACGAGCAAAATTCTCCTTACGCCTGACGAACGACCGCACTAATACCACCGCAAACGGCTGCCCACGATATGATGCCAGCGATTGTTACAAATTGGCCTTCGAAGCGGAACTCTCCGATCGCCTGTCACTTAAACCACCAACCGAAGAACTCAATGAACACTGAAGGCAAGTCAAAGAAGCTATGCAAATGTCGAATTCTGGCACAAGCTCAAAGCATAAACGATGGATCTCGTTGACCTCGGTTGACCTGCTGGACGCCCGCAGAACCCTTCCTCCTGATACCAAACATGACAGTGCAAAAATCCCTTACACTTCAGCACATCAAGAGTCTGATCAATAACCACGAGAAATAGTTGTTAGGATGGTCTAGAGAGATGGACAGATCTACGGTTATTGGTAATAGTCGCAATCTTTTCCGTTTATTTAGAAATACGTGCCCAAGAAAAGTAGGTGTAAGTGAGGTGATTAAGGTATCCGATGGCACATTGACTCGTCATCACCAACGCTTTCTTGATCGATGGATTGAACATTTCGAGGCTCTGTTCAACTGGCCCAAATCTAAATTTGACCTATCCCCCCCCCCCCTCTTGATTGGGCAAATAATCCCAGTTGGTACCAATCCTCTATCTGAAATGGAGGTTTCCCAGGAAGTACATACGTTATTTTAAAAGACACAAGGTCTCCAGCCTTGAGGGGCTTTTCCCATCGGCTTTTAGGGATGAAGGTTCCGCGTTAGTCTTGGAGCTGACGAAAATCCTGGGCTCAATATGGCAAATGGAACCGGTTCCAACAGAATGGTTTGAGTCTGTCATCTTACCGATTTACAAGAAAGGCGACAGGCCTTCTTGTGAAAACCACAAAGGAATTACTTTGATCAAGGGATTACTTTGCCTCTAAACTTCTTGCTGGCATCATACTCCGTGAAGAGCACACGTCAAAACTAGGCTGGTATTAGATTTGATCGCGGTTGAATAGACCACATCTTCTACTATTCACCAAATTCGGGAGCAGCGGCGTTCTTTTCGTAGACCCACCGNCTATCTGAAAGCTGCTTTCGACTGAATGGATCGCTGTAAAATCTGGGGCTGGCTATCCCTGAAAGGTGTGTCCGAGCAGTTTATTTCAATATTACTATCCCTTTGTGCTAATAGCCGAAGTCGAGTCCGAGCTTACGGCCCTTTTTTATCCGAGTCCACCAAGAAAGTGGTGTTGGTCATGGTTGTCCTCTCTCTACTTTCCCAATTCACTTCTTTTTAGTGTGATCATGTAAACAGTCCTATCCTCG